CGATATTTTTTTTTTATGAATCAAAAACTTACGTAAAGTAGATGAAGAAAACATAGTTGGAAACTCAAAACACCTCTCAGTTTTTGATAGATTAAATATATGACTTAAGTAACAAAATTAATGTCCTCTGTATACTTCATTTAACGGTTCATTGACTACAGATAAGTTGGTTACCATTCTTTTCAAATGTCTTGTAAAATGTTTATTTAAAATCATATTTAAAAAAAACAAAAAACTAGGCCACACCGAAAATCTTAATTTCTCCAAAATGTAACTATTGTATTGTCGGAAAAGTCATGACGTATTTTGTCTATGTTTTTTTGTTGCAAAAATGCGTCATGACTTTTCCGACAACCCCATGTATGTGCCTTAGACTACAGTAAAGTCAGAAGTTTGGGTGTTATTTTTCTTTTCATCCTTGTAGTCACAGATTTTTACCAGCTTGTGTGCTGGGCCTTCTGAGGGGTGTACTGCCTCTAGCTGCAGATGTACATGTGGGTCATGGAAGTCAGCTGGTTTCACTTCTTAGAGTCTCCTCCTTTTAAAGGTAACTCTTGGCTTATAGAGTCATTTACAGCCACTCGCTTAAGCAGATGGGAACAAATAGACTATGATTTGCCTAAAAGTTCACAGTTGGAAGCACACGCTCTCTTTCTGGTTCAGTGTTCTCTGCCCACTTCATACTACTGGCTGATTAGTCTGAGTCTCAAAATGGATTATTCTCAGTATATTTTGGAGATTAAGGCTTCGGAGAGTCAAGGCAGGAGTTGGAAAACTTGGAGGTCACCTGAATCTTATTTTATTTGAAATTTTGGGGGCCTCCAAGAAATCCCTGCTTGTGGTAGTTTTCAAGAAAATTACTTAGGTTTTGGTTTATCAATTGTACAGATCAAGTGTATTGGCTTGGGCAGTTGAGGGAGGGTTATTAAAGGAAACGGGCCACATTTAAAAATAGAATTAAAGAAACTACTACAGAGAAGATGTTTGAGGGTGGTGGTGTTGGGGTTACTCTCATCATTAGGAATAAGCTATCTTTCCAAGAGAAGGCTGTATGAGAGGAGTAGTATACGTACTTTTGGCATTTGGGGTGACTCTGGAAAAACCACATGGTTTACATATTTTTTCTTTTCATTAAGACACTGTTGAGATATTAAACCCAATTTACAAAACTAGCTTAGAAATTCATCCTGCTTCCAAGATCTAGTCTACAATATATATCTTAGATTAGTTTAAATATTTCTTCAAGTTGATTGTATAAATAAAATAATTAGATTTTCATCTAATTTTAAAATATTTTCTCTCAAAACATTTAAAAAATGCTATTGCTACATTACCAGGTAAGAGAGAAAAGAAAAAAAATAAACCTTAACATAATCACTGTTAGCTTTTTGGTGTATTTTCTTTCTTTTTTTTTTTTTTTTTCAAAGATTTTATTATTGGGGAATTGGAGAATTGGAACAGTGCTGGGGAATTAGGGAAGGGGAACAGCCAAGTTGTTGTCCTTCAGTCTTAGTTGTGGAGGGCGCAGCTAGCTCAGCTCCAATTCCAGTCGCCATCCGGCTGCCCGTTGACAGCTCGCGGCCTCTCAGCTCATGATGCCGTGTTCAATCTTAGTTGTGAGTGGGCATAGCCCACCATCACATGCAGGAGTCTAAACAGCAACCTTGTTGTTAGGAGCACCTGCTCTTACCAGGTGAGCCATCCTGCCACCTGTTGGCAGCTCAGCGGCAGCTCAGCTCGGGCGCAGCTCACTGTCCCATGTGGGAATCCAGCTGGCGACTCTGTTGCTCAGAGCTCACGCTCTTAACCAACTGAGCCACTTGTCTGGCCCTGCTTTTTTTCTTTTAATATCTGGTTGTTTTAGGGGATGACAGCGAATTGATGTGGCTGCAAGTAAACGAGGGGTCTTCAGTTCTTGTCACTTGACATTATTTCCTTCAGTCCTTTCCTCCCCACTATTTTTGGAAGAGAAGGGGTTAATAAGAGCTAATCATTTGTTGCCCAATTACTAAATTAATGTTAGTGGTCCATGTTGCACCTTTCCTAGATAATCAAGAATTGAGTATAGCTTCTTAAACCTTAGCCAGGGTCAATATCACATGGCAAATTTGTTAAAACACAAATGCTGGGCCTCAACCCCCAGAGTTTCTTATACAGTAGATCTGGTGAATTTCTAATAAACATTCCCAGATGATGCTGATTCTGCTAGCCCAGGACCACACTTCGAGAACCATTGGTTTAAACTGATTTTAAGTGATCCTTTAACCATCACTATCCTTATGCTGATTAATCAAGCGTTGACTCTTGGGCCGGCCGAGTGGCTTATTAGTTAAAAGTTGGCTTGGAAGTGTGATCTCTGATCAGCAGGGCTGCCAGTTTGGATCCCTCATGGGTCAGTGGGCTGCCGTAAGCTACCGAGAGTGGCCGGCAGCCAGGATGAGCGGCCGGCAGCTGGTGTGAGCTGCCATGAGCCACTGTGAGCGGCCATCCAATGGCCGGTGACCAATATGCCTCAGCTGGGAAGAGCGCAATGATCACAATACCAACATGGGCCAGTGAAGTGACGTCCTCCACAACTAGACTGAAGAACAAAGGGACAACAACTTGTCTCCAACGCTTCCCCAAGTCTCCAACGCTGTTCCCTCCCCCAATTCCCCAATAAAATCTTTTTTAAAAAAAGAGTTGACTCTAGTTGAAATCATAGTTTAGATATTTTATACTATGATTTCCATCCTAAGTGTGTACCCGAATTGTTGTAGAGTCTTTATTTTAACTTAAAAAATTATATAAGTAATGTATATTAATTAAATAAAAAATAGGGGAAAATAAGCTAAAAGAAAAATTAGTTATGAATTCCACCAGGGTTGATATTTTTGTGTATCTCCTTCTAATCTCTCAGTAGATATACAGATGGACAGTCAATCTATCTGTTGTTACTCTGCCACCCTGAACGCCCTTGATCTTCAAAGCTAAACAGGGATGGATGGGAGACAAACACAGAACAGTATATGTGTGTGGCATATGTATGTACATACGTATGTAGGTATATACACACTCATACAAACAAATGTATCTAACAAAAAATGAGCTCTCATAGTACATGCATTTTTAGCCTAGTTTTTATTTTTACCTGCTATATAGTGAATATCTTTTTGTGCTGAATATAAATCTAAGTGATTTTAATTGATGCAAAAATTTCCAGTGTTTATATTGTAATTTATTTGTTCTCTGTTGTTGGACTCTTAAGATTTTGTTCCAGTTTTTAATTATTAAAAACAATACTGTGTTGACTATCTTAGCACATGTATTTCTCTATTATGTGTTCAGTTATTTTCTTAGGCTAATCTGCACCTATAATTGTTGTTAAAAAGTTATGTGCTTTTAAGAAACTTTGCTAGTTTGAGAGACAAAAAATGTATTCCAGTTTAATTTGTGTTTAGTTATTGTTAAGGTTTATTGGCCATTATTTATCTCCATGAGCTGCCTATTTATATCCATTGCCCATTTTCCTATTGGCTGTCCATCTTTTCATTTCTTGGGTAAGATCTTTTTATCAGAATGTAAACTCTTTGTCTTATGTTTAAAATATTTTCCCCTGGTTTATTTGACTTAAATCTTTAGCAGGTTCATGTCCCCAAACTACTGCCCCTTGCAAGACTTGAACAGTTTCCTGGAGTCAGATGCTGCCTGGAAGGCTTCACCTGCATTTTTAATGGCTGCGTGATACTTCCTGGACTTGGGTGTACCAGACTTTACTTTCTTAGTCTCAAATATTAGGGGTCCCCAAGAAAGCTTAGCTGTGTCATTGGTACTTTGTTTTCAGTTTGTCTGCTTTCTTTCTTTAACCAGATGCTAACCCAGAGGTGACAATGACCATGCTTCGCTGGATCTATACGGATGAGTTGGAGTTCAGAGAAGATGATGTGTTCCTGACTGAGTTGATGAAACTAGCTAATCGGTTTCAGCTACAGCTCCTTAGGGAGAGGCAAGTCACAGCAGATATATTCAAGCACCTCAGATGGTGGTGGCTGAGCTTTAATTATGCCAAGCTCTGGGAAAACAGCTGCTTCTGCTAATGTAAATAACTTTTGAAAGGTGTTCTTTTAAAGGCTGTAGTGTGAGGACAGAATTTTATCTCCTTTGCTTTGTGTTGACTTGTAAGCTAAATTTTGCTAAAAGCTTTTAGGTATTCTCTTTACTTTCACTGGTGTATTAACTGATATTACAAAACTGTGTGAATTGATAAACTGAATGTGAAATAATATAATCCAGTGTCCAACCGTCAGCTTTCTCTCCTATACCATTGCCTTTGATATTTTATGGAAGAGACTTCTGATCTATCTACTTGGATGAAGTCCTTGGTCATATTCTCATTGTTGGAAACACATTAATGCCTAAATTAATACATGACAGTGTGGCTCAGTAATTTTCAGAGCCAGTGTTTCTGAGATCTTACTTCATTTGTTACTGCGTCTTAGGTTCCCAAGGAGACAGCCGGCTATGTTTTTTGTTTTTTGTTTTCATACATTGCATTTCTCCATTGCTCTCCCAAGTTGGCCTTTTAGATCAACAGAAAACAAAATGCCCTCCAAATCAATGATGTCAGGCAAAATGCCCTTTAGTTTCTGTTGGAGCTGTGGCCCTCCGTAGTCAGTTTGACTGATGGAGTGTCTTTTTACATCATTTAGTGACCTTTTGTATTCTCCAGGGTGGGTGAAGGGATAGTTTCAGCCATCAGGATGCTCTCTACCTGTGGTTGTGTTGCCCTCAGAGAGCTAAGAGAGACCTTGCTACCTAGAGCTGCTTGCTCTGTTTTCGCTGTGGGCCTGATGTTTCCCATAGGATGGCCCATTATGCCCACGCGTCAATATACTGGTTACTCTTAACTGTCTGTGATTGATGTAGGCTTGAATCCATTTAATACCTAAATCCAATAAGTAAGAAAAAAAACCAAACAGGCCTAAGATTTGTAGGCATGTATAGTATTAGGTTAGTAAAGCTACTTTACTGTCGAGGCCTTGCAGTTAATGCTTTCATTAGTTTGGGTGAGTTTTTGAACCATCTGAGAGTGAAATGAGAATGATTTTAATTAGATTGAATGTGATATCACGCTCTCGTTTTTCCTCCCTCCCTCTCTCTCTCTCCCTCTCCCTGTGTCTGTCTCTCTCTGTCTGTCTCTCTCTCCCTCTCCCTGTGTCTGTCTCTCTCTGTCTGTCTCTCCCTCTCTCTCTCTCTCTCTCTCTCTCTCTCTCTCTCTCTCTCTNATTTTATTCTTGTTTGGAGTTCCCTAATCTTGAATCTAAAAACTCATGTCTGTCACCAGATTTGCAAAGTTCTTGACCATAATTTCTTCAAATATTTTTCTTCTTCATCTCTTTAGTCTCTCCTTCTGAGACTCCAGTGATGCATATACTAAACCTTTTGTTACTATCCCACAAGTCTCCTTGAGGTTCTTTTTTTTCCTCCCATTTTTTTTTTTTTTTTAGCTGAGCCATCCTGCCACCTGTTGGCAGCTCAGTGGCAGCTCAACTCGGGTCGGGAATCAAACCGGCGACCCTGTTGCTCAAAGCTCGCACTCTTGAGTGAGCTCTTAACCAACTGAGCCACTCGGCCGGCCCTCTCCCAATCTTTTTCACTCTGTTCTTTAGATCGGATAAATTCTATTGATTTACCTTCAAGTTTACAAACTTTTTTCACTGCCATTTTCATTCTGCTGTTGAGCCCATTGTGTGAGTTTTTATTATGTGTATTGTAGTTTTCATTTCTGTACTTTCCATTTGTTCTTTTTTATAGTTTATATGCTGAATATGCCTATATTTTAATTTGAAGTGTGTTTTTCTTTACTTTTTGGAGCATCATTACACTAGATGCTTTCAAGTTTTTCATAAATCCTATATCTGGGTCACCTTGGAGTTAGAATATGCCGATTGTCTTTTCCCTTCAGAAATGGTCATTTTTCTGATTTTTGCCTATATCAAGTGATTTTGGATTGTATCTTGGACATTGTTATTACATTGTGTAGACTCTGGGGCCTGTATAATCCTCTGGAAAAGGTCAAATCTCCTTAGATTCAGATTGCAAGTTCTTTTTCACCTCATGTGAGTATGGTTCAAACATCACTTCAGTTCTTAAAGCTAGATTGGGACTATTCCATGCATGAATAGCTAGAAATGAGCTTGAGGCTTCTCTGTGGGTTCATACACAGAATTAAAAGATCACCTTCTCTGGCTTTTTTTCCTGGTTCATCTGGCCAGAAAGATGGAGTTTCATTTTGGGCATCCCCATGGTCACCGCAGCAGTGTTGCTCCTTGACTGGGGTCTACCCTCAGGGGAAAGCCATAGAGAGGAAAAAAATCTGGAAATTCATCTAGTGCGGACACTTTTTCAAGTTTTGCCTGCCCATACAATTCAGTTGCTTTTGTTTATTTTTTAGAATCCTCAGGTAGTTGTTTTTCGGTACTCTGTCTAGAGTTTTTAGCTATAGTGAGTTAAAATAAGGTTGTTATACTGCTGTGTAGAACTAGATAGAACTATTAGCTTGT